GGGCTGGTACATGGGGCTGGAGCACCAGCAGGTAGGCTGGGGAGGGGAGGGGGGTCCCGGGCGGCCCGGCTGCAAAGGGCGATCAGAGGGGTTGGGGCGGGGAACCCGAGGCTCGGTCTGGGCTGAAAATCGCGCGCAGTGGCAGTGGCAGTGGCAGTGGCAGTGGCGCAGCGGTGCCCGCGCGGGGTGGGGGCCACCCCGCTGCTGGGCGGGCAGAGGGCAGTGGGGAGGGCATCATAACCCCCCCAGCCTCTTCTTTCTGCCCTGAGCTCCCTGGGCTGTGCCAAGGCAGGGCTTGCAGGAGGCGCGCGGGGAGCTTGCCTGCCTGCTTCCTGCGGCCAGGCCGTGCCGGCCTCAGCCCTTGGCCCAAAGGGAGCTCCCCGCTGCCCAAGCCTGTCAGCCTCCCCGCCTCGGGCTCTCGGCAAGAGGGACACTTCCACCCGTGCCCGAAGCGCGGGCACACGCGGGGCAGCCGCCCGCTCGCCATCCCAGCCAGCCACAGCGCGCAGCACCTGGTGCACAAGGAGGTGGCGCAGGCTGGTGAGCGCCAGCGCATGGGGGGGCAGGTCCAGGGGACCTCGCTGCCCTCCGGCCAAGCTGCGGTTGTGGGACTGAATAGCAACAGGTTTTTAAAGCACTCCTAATGGGGCGTCTTGGTCCATCCAGCCTCAGTCTTACCTGGAGCCTGCTGGTTTGCTGGGCTTCGATTTGCACTCCAGCTTTTTGGGCGTCAGCCGGACGTGCACGGTGAATAAATAACCACGTGCCCAGGAGAAATGCGGGCGATCTCACAGAAATGTCCTTATTAATAATGTTCTCAGCGACTGGCTTTGGGGAACCAGGAGTGCAGGCACCCGGACGGGTCCCAGCGGGGGGAGGTGGGCAAGGCTCACGCGCAGTCCCGGGAGCCAGGATGAAGCCCAACGAGGCCGCTGGACCCAGCAGCGCTGGAAGCCGCTCGCTTGAGACAGCTCACGCTTTGAACACCATCCACGAGCTGCAAGGACCCGTGAATTATCCTCTGCCCTCCCCCAGCACATGTGGGAACATGGATATTAAACCATGTCTCATAACCCATCAATGGAAAGGCTGGGGAAGCACTTACCACACCCAGATGGCTTCTATTTTTTTTTTTCCCTCAGAGTTAAAATATATCAATTAAAAACTGTCATTTGCAAGGGAAGGCAAAAATACCAGGGTGGCTTTTTTTGTTCATTTGATTATGTATTTATTTTTTTGCTTGGTTGTGTAACCATGTTGTCCGAGTGTCGTTCTCGCTGGCAGCTACCACCCTGCCCGTAAGGACAGGCCCCTCAGAGCCACGGAGTCCTTCCCCTGCCCAAACAAGGCCACGTGAGGTCTCTTCAACATCCTATATGTATTTAAAACCCCCCTAATCAACTCCTGCTGCAGTCCCCAGCCTGTAGGGTTATTAGCGATTCTCTTTGCAAGCCCTTGGCAATTTTGCTACGCGTCGGGCAGATAAAAAGATCCTTGAGATCAAGATTTATGGACGTATTTTTGTGATCCCTGAAAACTTGCTCCTACCATTCCCCCCCACCCCCATCTTTTTCGGAGTTAGCGCGGCCATAGCTCCCATGCGTCGCTCCGCTTTTGGGCCCCGTCCTGCGCCGCCCTGCTTGGCAGGATCGGGCCCCGCTGCAAGCTTAGGCGATGGCTACACTTACCAAAAGCATTTCGGCGGTGGGGGGGGGAAGTCCCGTTTCCCAGTGTTAAGGAGCTTCATTCATTGACCCTCAATGGGGAACAAAGAGGGCTTTCTTCTCGTTAACCTTGGGGACCCGCAAGTGGCCAAGTCGGGGCAGGGTTGGCCTTGGCAGAGTCCCGGCACCCTGGGATTCCTCGGTCAGAAATAGTTTGAACAACGAGACCGGAACGACTGGTCGCGAAGGAAAAGGGCCTGTGCCGTGCGCCTCTACCTTATGTCTTCAGGGAAGACGGTCCTGGACCGTGTCGGGGGGCGAAGCCCTGCAGAGCCGTGCTGATGAGCACCAGTTGCAGGGGTTTCTCTCTTGCAACGATGCTGAGCTAAGCCCGGAGCTCAGTTTGCCACCAGTCCTTGCCTTCTGGGGCCCAGGAGTCGTGTCCCAGGAACCTGTTTTGTCCAGGCTTGGTTTAGACAGGGGCAGTCCTGCCGTGAGCGAGGGATGGGCTCCACCCTGGGGCCCTGCTGCCTGGTTTTTTTGCAATTCCTTCACCAAGCTGTGTTGTGGGCTCCTTTGTGCCCCCGTGGGTGCACCCTCCAGAAAGACAGGGCGCCCTGGCCTTGCAAAGGCACCGATTGTTGCTTCCCGCAGACAGAAGAGCTTTGCCCAGCGGGCCTGGGGGAAGCCGAGCAGCAATGCAAGTGCTCTTAACCGGGCCCAATCCTAGCCTCCCTGCTCAGCCCGGGCGACAATGAATCGCTTGGCCCCTGAGACCCAGCCTGATTAGGGTAGCAGTGCGCACATGCCTGCTTGGCACAGCCCACAGTCCTGTTGTGCACTGGGCAATGTTATCACGAGGAGGGGGTGAACTTGGACACGGCACATGGGAGGGCGGCGAGTGGGTCATGGACGGTCACGCGGGCGCATGTCTTGGGCTCTGTGGGTGCTGCAAGGGGCCCAGGGCCTGGTCCTGACACACTAATACCCCGAAAGGTGCAGGTAGTGACCCAAGTGCACAAACAGCTCCCCAGAGCACGCGCTGCACGCTGGACACGACAAGTCCTGTTCAAATCCACCCGGACCAAGCGCTCCTCCGTGCCAGGAGAGCAGGGAACAGGGAGAGAGCCAAGACTCCCTTTGGGCCTAACATGCAGCTGATTAAAGGCATTGCTGATTATTCACACTGAACTAGCACCTAAAAGTCAAACTCTAATTAAGCTGCTCGGCACTAGCGGCTGTACATAATCGACAGCACGGTCCCAAAGAGGGCATAGCCTGAAAGATAAGTTAAGAAGTGAAAAAGAAAAAAGAAAAAGAAAAAAGAAGTGGCTCTGGGTCAGGTGACAGATATACTAACAACAATTACCATTATTAATTATTGATTATTGTTGCTATTACTATTACTTCAGTTTATATCCCACTCTAAGGGTAGGAGGAAGAACACGCTAAAAAACACTCTTCGCTGCAGTATGGTTTTGTTCAGAGCCTGTAATACCTTTGCTTTCCGATCAGTCCTGGGATTGATAAATTAACATGGGCTCTCAGCAGTTAATTGCCCCCTCTGCCATCCTTTCTGATAAGCTGCCAGGTAGGCGAAGGAATGAGAAAATACATGGAAGGAAATAAAGCTTTATGAGGATTGGCCAAAGCGCCGAGGCCAAGACGAACGTGACACCGACTTGGAAAAAAATCGTGTGTAGAAACTGATTGTATTGCAATCCCAGG